ACGTAAAAACTCATATTTCGTCATATCCCAACAGGGGTACTCCAGCTTCTTCATAATGGTAGTCTTGATAAGGGGTATCACGTCATACTTGTGGAGGAGATGAGGTTGTAGTTGCTCGGCCCACTGCTTGGCCTTGGCCGTTAGTTGGGCTTCCTGTGCTTTGTGATTCTCCAAGGGGGCTAACATAACCCCTAACGTACGCTCCGAAGCGTCCGGCTCTAATTGTCGCAAGGGCTCATTGGTGCCGGAGAGTTCCGGAATGTGGAGGTTGAAGTGTGGAGCCACTGAGCTTTTGCAACGGAACTTCCATTGGCCCTGGCGTGAGTCCCAAGCAAAGTCAATCAGCCACCAGAATGACTTCTCAGGATTGATGGCCCCCCCAGTTGCTCGGATGCCACCAGACGGCAGAGGAGCTGCTGCTTGGACCGATGGACAGATAGATTCACCGGAGTGCTGAACTGTGGTCCCTGCTCCAATCACATCAGTATCGTCAACAAAGCAGAAGCACTGTGCCATAACAAGTTTGGACTCCAAGGCTGAAAGTGCTTCAAAACCATAACCCATGGCTTCCATCATAGTGATGAGAACTGAGCTGACCGAGATCCAGATGGGTGGCCTGGCACCGTTTCCCTGTCCACATCCTTGGAACGGAACCGCAGAGGGAGGACGAAAGCTCTTATCTGAGTCGCCAAAGCCAGTGAGGACCCGATGTGTAGCCATGGACAGCATGTTAAACATGGAGGAGAGGACGCGCCAAGTGAGGCCAAATCAAAGCATGGCCACTATGGCAACCCAATGAACCACCCTATCAAAACAAGACTTAACATCATTTGAAATCCAACCTGCAGCACGGCGCCGAAGGATTAATAAGTCCCACCCATACCAAGCGCTTGGACAGGGCAAGGTCAATCGCCTGGTAATGCTTACAAGATCCGCATCGTCTGGCGGGAATCAGCGAGTGAGATTTCGCGTAACGCATTGCAGCTTGGCCGGCTTTTTTATTGTTTGCCTATGCTTCTGCATTCATCAGTTGGATTGTTCGCATCTTTGACAATCGGAAATCCCCTGCCTTTTTCTCAATAGCAAAATTCATTAAATTCTGCCAGTTTAACAAAGGAACAAACCCTGTAGTGAGAGGGATGTTCCGGAACAGAGCATCACAGTAAGCAATCACCGGGGAGTGAATGGCTGCTTTGAAATGCCCATTGTGTAGACCATGGGGTTCCAACCCTTTATTCTCTGGATTCCGGGACCAAAAGTACACGTGGTCGTCGGTGGAGACCTCCAAATGAACTGGTGTGTGGCCCTTGCGGAAGCGGCAATGAGATAGGAAGGCAGTAGTTACAGGGTCCAGTAGAGATGGCAGTGCGTAACGGCCTTCCAACAATGCCAATGAATTGCTTTCAGCAGAGTCGCCAGTGAATTCGCTATATAACGGCTCGGCCATTGGTGGAGTGGAATATGGCGCACGCGTTTGATCGTATCTAGCTGCGTTTTCCCTCATGCAACCTTCTTCCACCAGAGTGCGGTCGGTGATGGTACGGAGACTTGTAGACCCATCCGGTAATTTCTCTTTGACTTGGATGGCCCTAAGACCCCCAGTAGATCCCTTCCGTCCACTGATTGACAAAAATTCACATATTAGACCAGCTACTTATTTATTGTCTTCAACACCAATTGGGACATTTCCCATCACTTGTCGTCATCAAGTTCGATGATGCGACATGATAGCCCAAACAAATCACAGTACAACAGAGTATGTTGATAGTGCGATTCAAAACCTGAGTTTATCGTTCTGCATCTTTTCAGTGCAGTAGCAACCGCTGGTTGCTTGGAGATTCAACATATTTGATGTTGTATCTCTCGCTTTGTTCCACAACCACTGTGTGCGAACTGCTCCTTTTCGAATGCCAGAAGTTCATCGATACCTTCCTCTTGGAGGCATATATATGACTTGGCTCGACAGCTTCATCGTCAACTTCATTGATGTGAATGTCAGCTTGAATATAGAGCTCGCAGCATCGGTTCATGCTTCATGAAATCGTTGTTGCTGCTGTTGGCATTATTGCCTTTAGGAAGGAAGTTGATTCCTTTCCGTTTTGGGAGCGTTCTTATCAGAGGACTCATCATTAATCTTGATTTGAACTTCCATGCACCCTTGTAGATACAGTCTCTACCAAGGATGTCTAACAGTTGACAATCCGAACAGAATGTCAGAAATATGAGAATACAACTAGCTGTGGGTGCCTCAACGCCCCTAGTTCTTGATTCTCTCCTGAAATAGGATCTTTGGCGGCTAGGGTATTAGCTCCTGTATCAATAACAATCTATCAATACTATAGCAAACCATACATCAGTATTACTATATTAATTCATATCCATTTAGGATTCTGTTTGGATTGTGAGCTCGATCGGTTGGGAATCAAATGAGGGCTGACACCTCATATTCCATCGATCACATAGCTCTTTCCCTAGATTTCCGTACATTGCTGATATCAGGCTTTGGTTATTCTCCAGGATGAGAATAGTGCTCTTCAGAATAGGGCAATCGTACCAGGAATAAAATAGCATTTTGCTCCCAATACCTGGTCCTATTTTCCTCTGTTCGCAATTCGTGTCTTGTTCACTCCGATGAGTCGATACAAGACACGACTGAATAACCTGTTCACAATCACGGATCAGATCCAGGGAATATATTAGTCCAAACAAATCTCCATTTCTCCAATAGTTAATAATGAAAATTCGAATACTGCTGACACAACTCAAACTGAAGCTGTTGCAAGAGAAACAGAGATGACTCAAAACAAGATTCTCTACTCTGCAAAGCTCAATGAGAATATGTGAAGATCAGCCTACTCAATCTTAACCAGATTGGAGCAACAGTCCCAGCTGCAGTTCCAGCTACAGTTCCTGGAGCTTCTTCAGTGACAAGTATTATCACAAGTGGAGGATCAAGTGTTGCCGGAAGCGTTAACACACCTTTGCGACTTGCTGGTACTACAGGTAATCAGATGATGCAAGTTCCTGCGGGAATACAACTGATGCAAATTCCAACTCAAGGTGGCGGCACTGTTACTGTCCCTTACACTATGAATTCTAATGGTGAGATTGCGTTCAATGGAATGCAACTCAGCCGACAAGGATTCAGTGGTGCTCAAATGCGCCAAGGATTCGATGCAACTCAAGCTCGAACTCTGCAGGTCAAATGTCTTTCATGATGCTATCAAGGGAAAGGATGAGAATGGCAATGATGTCTATCTTATTCCATGTCCTGCTGGTACGACAAATGTCAAACTTCAAGCTGACTGGCACTACGCTAGTAAAAATGAAGACTTGCCAGATCTTGCTACTGAAGCAGATCGAGGTATGCAGTTTATTCAAAGCTGCAGAAGAGAAAGGATCCATTTGGATTGCTCGATCACGTCATCGTGGGCAGTGGTTGCACAAACACCACCATTTGTAATGGTGAGCTCATGCATGGACTACGCCAAGCTGAGAAAGAGCTCGATGTGCACACTAGTAACGTGGGCAGCAGAGTTCTCGATGAAGAAGGTTTTCTAGGAAGATTTCCGCCTCCAGTCTATTATGATGAAGACAGAATTGCCAATGTACTTGCTATGCGCAAGATGATTGGTGTTGGATACCGCATTACAATGGATACTGATTTTGACAATGCCTTTGTTGTGCATTGCGATGGAAACAGACAGATGCGATTTGTGAATCGTAAGGGTGTGTATGTGTTGGAGCAACTTGGAGCGGATGTCGAACCAGGTGCCAAAGAGACAAGTGTGATGTATCGTTGCCAGTTAAGCAAGGTTAATAAACAACCCCATTTCAAACTTTCTTCAAAACAGAATGGATATGCTGGACTCGGGATGACCGCAAAGATGGCAACGGTTCAAAAGAACAAGGAAGGATTCACTCCAAGACAAGTCAAGGCTGCGATGGAAGCGAGAAGTGCTATGCACATACTCAATGCTCCAAGCACCAAAAGTCTGAAGTATGCGATCCGATCTGGTCTCATCAAGAACTGTCCTATAAATGAAGAAGCGATCAATCATGCCGAAGCAATCTTTGGACCTGACGCATCTACATTGAAAGGCAAGTCGACAAGACCAACTCCGCTTTCATGTCAAGAAGATCAAGTGTGATTGGGCGTTCATCCCTCTAACGGATGATTTGCTAGATGATATGGGTGTTACTATTGACCTGACTGCAGCTGGAGACCACGAGCCTACAGCTGAGCAAAACAATAGGACGCTGAAAGAAAGAGTCAGAGTAGCTCTTGCACAATTACTCTACAAAGTGGTCCCAAAGGTGATCACTGAATGTCTTGGACGTCGAGCCGCCAAGCTATTGAATGTCTTTCCCCAGAAAGACAGTATTTCCTCACATTTCAGTCCGCAGCAACTCATTGATAATGTCAATATCAACTACA